TTTAGTAATGAACAAACGTGCATCTTTTCTATCAAGTGATGCTTCAGACAAAAAACAAAAATTAAATGATGACCAATCCTCTAAAATAATAGAATCCAACAGAGAATTGTGTGAAGAAATCTTCAATTCAAATTATACCCAGCCACAATTTATCTCAAAATTTCGTAGGGCATTTAGAAATCGCCAAGATTTCAAAGATCCATTAACAAATGCTACTGTACATGGCTCCCCATTTCCAATAGCTCTTTTTCCTAATCTCTTTCCTTCACAATTTCTTGAATCAGTAAAAGCAGAGCTCGAATCTGAAGAATTTTATCATAAGTCTAATGATTTGTACGAATTTTATCAAAGTGAAGATTTAAAACTCTCGAAAAATCCAAATACTATAAAATTACGAGAAACAGTATATTCCGAAAGTTTTGTACGAACAATATCAGAATTAACAGGAATTCAACTTGATTCTACACCAGATTTATCTGCGCATCAATATATACAAAGTAATTATTTATTGTGTCATGATGACGATATTAAAGACGATGAAAATATGCATGGAAGGAGAGTCGCGTTTATTATTTATCTGGTTGATAATGATTGGGTAAAAGAACATGGTGGTTGTTTGGATTTATTCAACACGTAAGCATATATATTAATTATTCGCTTGTTTACTTATTATTATCGTAATCAACCCACGATCCAATGGAATATCTTGATTTTACATAGTGATAGTCAAGGGCATCCAAATCAGGTTTCACTTTCAATAATTCCAAAATGGAATACTATGGTATTTTTCGAACTTAGTCCAACCTCATATCATCAAGTTGCCGAAGTTTTAACCTCTACAAAAGTTCGTCTATCAGTTTCTGGCTGGTTTCATGGAAATCTTAATACTAGATTATCATGTGCTCAATACGTCCCTACAGTCCCTGCAGATCCTGATCACTACAATATAAATCAGATTGTTAATCCAAGTTATTTAACAGAGAAGGGCATTAAGCATATTGGCAAAGTGTTAAGAAAAGAAGCTTCAATAGAATTACAACAATTTCTTCAACAAAATATATATGATCAACTTATTGACAGTTTGAATCAAGCACAATGGGATGTGCATCCTACAGGACCACCTTTTATAAGAAGATACCATATTCTTATAAATAATACTACTAGCAAATTACTGGATATTAATAGTACATCTCCTTTTCATCAATATATTTATAACTTTTTCAAATCAACAATTTTCACAAGTTATCTTGCACAAATCACTCGCTACAATATTAATAATGTTTACTCGGAAATTCGGCAATTTCAATCGGGCGATTATACCTTAATTCACGATCAAGCGTTAGACGAAGAAGGCTTAGATATAACGTTTTGTTGTATTGAAGAAGATTGGCAGCACGAATGGCAGGGTGGAACACATTATGTTGCTCGAGAAGAAGAATTACTGACCATTTGGCCAAAAAGGAATACGCTGAGCATAGTAGTGAGAGATGCTGGAACCATGAGATTTGTCAAGTACGTTAATTCTAGAGCTAAGGTTTCGAGAAGAGAGATGACATTTATATTTTTGGATGATGACGACGATGATGAAAATGTCGACGACGAAGAAGATGTTGACGATTATGAAAATGTCGACAATGATGAAAATATCGACAACAATGACGTAGACACATAATACTGTATATACTAAAAAAATATATATGCGTAGATATACAGTTAGCCCAAAGAAAAATGTGATTATAATAATGTGCTTATAGGGTGGTTAAATTTTTTATATTTTATAAGTTGGGGTCTAAAAATTATATGATTTGAACAGGTTGTGGTTATAGTCGGGTGATTATAGCGAGGGTTGACTGTTATATATATATATGGGTAATTATTTTTGAACCAGACCAATTTATATATATGGCGTAATAACGTTTTGGTCTGGGTTCAAAAACAATTACCCATATTATAGTCAGCTCTCGCTATAATCACACCCTTGGGTTCAAAGAAAAATGTGATTATAAGGGCAGTAACATTTATTACGTAATATCCATTTACTATAGGACTATCTCTCCACATGAAACCAATTGTGATTGGTCAATTAATCATATTCTATATGTTTATGTGTAACGTAATATATTGCTATAGTGCAGTAGTGTATATCAACTCCACCCCTAAAAAATTACGTAATAAATGTCAGTACCCTAATAAGGTTGTGCTTATAGAATAGTTAAATTTTAAATATAAGTTGTGATTTAAAAATAATATAAGTGATTATAATAAGGGTTGATTGTAGGGTTCAGGGTACAGGTAAAAAATTATGCATGCCCTTAGGTCAAGGCATGCTTCTTATGCTTATGAGCATGTTTTTTGTGTATTATATAATTATAATCTGTCACCAACCAATTATAACATATGCAACATGATAGTATCAATGTTTTCTGTATATATAAAGCATGTATAAATTCTTTTTGTGCATATTTTTTGTGTTTGCGTCAATAAAAATTTTTTTGAATTTATAACACTGTTTACAGCTACATTCAAATATACTATACAAACTAAACTTATCAAACAAAAAGCACTTGAACTAAACAATATACTCAAACCAAAAAATATAACTAACAAACAAGCTATTTATATCATTAACAATATTATTATTTCTATTCTAGAATATTGAATATACAACATTATACTTTCTAGAACTATATGCAACTCAATTTTCTCACAATATCTAACTATAATCAAACACAAAGCTAAGCTATCCTTGATTATATCTAATAGTATCTTATTTAATTACAATATATATAGCATTAAAAATATATAGAATATTCAACTACAATACCATATCTTTAATTTTTTATTTTGTTTAAATAATCAAGAACTCATAAA